GTTTCACTCGACCCGTACGATCAAATCTCATGTAGCTTTCTACTTTTTGTAGTTTGTGCTTCTGCATAGCATCTAGTGATATGTTGGCCATTCATTATTTCCTGTGGATAATATTGAAATCCTGTAGTAAGTTAGGGTAGGTGCTATTTGGAACGATTATTAACGTGAGACAAATTACTCGAATGAATATTCATTATACCATTCAGTTACAGGATTGTTGAACAATGTCTGCACCGTCAAGTGAATAATACATCAAGTAGATTAACTAATAATAAACATTAATCTTGTAACCTATCACGTAAAAGACTGAATAGTGTCTCCTACCAATCAGGCATCTCAATTACTCAAAAAACTACAGTTAACGACCAGTAGAAACTTCATACAACCAAGTTGTGAAGCACTAAGTAAATAAATTGTTTAGCTGTATGAGCTAGCTACATGTTAAAATATAGTACTTTCGTACCGAGCAAGAAAATAAATCCTAACTAGGGAAATCAAGATGAAAGCCACCGGACGTAGAGGTCAACTCAAAGCTAAATGGAAACAGTAACGATTAGTTGTCAACCCGGAACCTGAACTATTAAACTACGGGTTCTTTTGACTAAAAGAAGCGAATCAAGCAATTCAAATATAATTCAATATTCTGTCGTAAGCAAAGAAGTACAAACTTTCATGATATGTGATAACCCAAATCTGATACTGATAAAAGATGTGCTACGCACTAACTCTTTATAGTGCCAAGGAATGTCATTAGGCACTAGCCATCTGGCAGTATAAGCACTGAGCGTCGAACGGTTTACTGATCCTTCTCAAGGTCGGGAACAGCCTACACGCATTAGTTGTTTGCACACCGTGGGCTGGCCCATGATGTGGTGGTCACACTCTCTTCATTGTATCTACTCTTACTTACACACTTCTGTAATAACTCCTTTGCGTTGTACGGTCATCAAACTAGCCATGTTACCTGGGTAGGACGAGAAATTAATCCATGTTAGGTTCTGGCTACGAAGTGTGACTTCAATTTTGTCTGGCTCGTCAAATAATTCCCATCTCAATCGAGTAGCCCCCCCCCTACTTTGATTATCGGCATCTCCAAACCGACCACTTGAGTCAAAAAACAAGTTTGAGAGGTATAATCTAGTGGGCTACCAAATAATAGGCATGAATATTAACTAAAACATATTCACACTTCTGCTCCTTATTAAACCATTCTATCTGTTTGCCGACGACGCACATTCGCCTTCCAAGTCATTTATGATTCCCTCCAAATGACCTTCATGTTTGATACTTGTGATTAACTCACTATATCGTAAATCATCTGGTTTCTTCAACCGCATTGATTACCCGAAGTTATATCATACCTGCAAAGCAAATGGTTATGTAAACAAAGTGTATCCTGTGAGATATTTCATCAATGAGTGAAAGGAGCGTGTTAAGAAATTACTTTTGATGGTGCTTTAATTATGCTCTATATAGTTCATGGCATTTATGTTAAGAACTTTTCGTTTATAGCTGAGCTACACTGAACTTGTCCGGCAATAACAAAAGTGTTATATCTAATTAACAAGGCCATAAATTGTAAATAATATGGTTTTGAGGTTAGATTTGTGTGTCTTAAATGTATTTGAATGAAATTGAGGGTAGATTTGGTATGATAACTAGACGTATTCGAAGTATTTTGTTTACTAGGAATTCCCGAAATAATGAAAATTAAGGCAAGTAGAACTGTGGTGTGAGCTACTTATATAAGTAGTATATAACGTGCGTTAAAAGAACGTAATGCCCGGCAGCAGAAGATGGCGAAGATCAAGAAAGGAAGAGCAAGAGCACAATGGAATTGTAAGAAAACGCATGTACAATGGAATGGGAGACAATGGATTAGTGTTTGCAACGGGAACAGTACAGTTTGATATAATGGAATGATATTTTGCAAATTGACGATTGACTTTATGGTATTCACATTTTATTGAGATAGTCTGTAATTTTTTTGCTAAGTACAATCGATTGTCCCCACCCGTGTTCTTGTTCACTACAGAACTAGATGATCATAAACGAACGTATTGTACTTGGAATACGTAATAATCAGGGAATGAAATACAAATGAGTTATTATTTAGCATAAATACCACATTTCGTTCACTTAGTCGTTTGCAATCTATGTACTAAGTTTGATAATCTTTCAGTAACCTCGTCCTAATCACCCGCCTTCCGTAATTTTCACAGCATTTATTTAGAATAATTGTAATTCTCCAAAATCCCAGCTTAGACTGGTTGTGTAAACTTCCTGCACAATTTTTTGTGTTGTTTCTTAATCCCAGTACGACTATGTTGAATGCAGCTGAAGATGTGCAAGTACTCGGAGTTTGACAACGTATCAACCAGCAACACCTTTATAATCGAAATATGTCAACCCAGTGAAATCAGAAGTCAAGAATGAAGGAGTTTGAAGATTTATTTGGAATTTTATCGGTATGTCGAATGAACGTTTTGTCTAATCTAGCTAATGGTTGAAACGGATGTGTAGCACGACATACCCACTCGTAATCTGATGCGGATACGTGACAGCGTCTCCAGCTAGATGTGTCATTTAAAACTAATGAGGTCAGCACCAAATGCGGAAGCCTTACAGAATTATTGGTTCCGGGGATTTATTCACTACAACACATTAAATCATCTATGTTTCTTACTCATCCAGCAAAAACTATCGTTTCTACCGATATTCATGTTCGCACATTTATCATTTCAAAATTCTGAAAGATGCTTGTCGTCTAGTTGCATGCAAGTTGTCCATTGTATTCCGGTCTTCCAAATTGTCTGGACATTCCATGTGCATATATTAATTTTTGCTCTGTTTTGTATAAGGGGCGTCGACCTGGTGAATTTCAAGGAATCTCGGCTCTCACCATGAGGTGTCATAATCCTTCTCAACAGAGGTCCCTCAAATTCCAAGTCAGAGTTAAAAATGTTTTAATTTGTTTAATCTGGTTGGCGTTTTTTAGTAAGGCTGTTTTCCATAGAATGTGGTGGTTAACTTCCTGTTCAACTCTCCTCCTTCACCCATGTTTGGGAAAATCAGAAGCCCTAGAAGAGCTTAAGGTGGAGTTGAATACTTATGTATTGAATTCTAAGTGAAAACTCTTATGTCATTACATAGTAAACATGCTCTAGTAACTGACTTGCCACCGGTAGACTTCGTTCCGTACGGATCCATTGCCGAATACCACGAACGACACCTTCGTGCTCTCTTCAGTTTCTACGGGCCTGTTACGCCATCGAGAGATGTAAATGACGACAATCCAATTGTAACGTACTTATAGCTCATCTCCACTCAACTTGTACTTCTTAAACAAATAGTGCGTAGAAGATAACCATGGGTGTCGCACAGTAGTTTCAAGGCTAACGTCCTGTGGAATATCACTAGTTCCATCTAATTTCTACACAAACTGAAGTTGCGATGTTTTAGTATGCTTCTGATTGTGACTACAGTTTCAACTGACATTCACACCCTGATGCTGAGGAGGTATGTTCTACTTTTATTCTTATTTCTCATAGTCCCTAGGAGCTTTAAGCCTGCTATCTTCACACTACAGAAGTGTTGAAGATGTAGAACATCACTGCAGGGAACCTGTGTGGATGATCACAGGGCTTGTCGATGTAGACAACAACAGCTTCACATCAGCTCATGCCGGATTTACACCTTTCAGTTAATGCGTAATATGAATGACCATTTTGTCGTATTCAGGTACTATTACCGATTTGAAGACTATACAGTAAAAAGATACTGTTGCTACAGAGCTGAATTAGCAAGAATAAGTGCAAAAAACAAATTGCAACCACTTTCGCATGCGTCTGTCCACAGTGTTTAGTCGATTGACGCACGTCGGCTGTCTCTGATGTTGAAGAGGACTAACAAACTGCTCGATATTATATGAAGCGCCTGCCGGGTAATCTGGCTAGAACCGAATGACGTTTCACAGGTTTTACAAGAGAATATGACCTCAGCATGTTGTATTGCTTGTAGTTCCCTTCATCTACCCACTTAGGTAGTAAACTGAACGTAACAAGTTACCATTTTACCATGGGAAACAAATAACCTCACATGACAGTACGTGTAAACGTATTTGAGGCTTAAATCAGTAGTTACTACAATCACTCCCTACTGAATCCTTTGAAAGAAGGCTCAACAATCCCTATGATTTAGAAGGGTAGCAGAATCTCAGTGTTTCTCATTCCGTAAAGTCTTGTACAAGGATATTGATGACAATCAAAAGTTGTGAGTAAAGAGAGGTGAAAGTATACCTGAGTAACGGTTGATGTGACAGATTGTATTCAACGTAGGGTCGTTCACCGTTATGTACCCAAACGTGGTCTGATACTGATGCTCGACAGAGCCCCTTCTGCTGTGTTCAGTAGAGCTAATGAGACCAGCGCCAATGTCGGAGACTAACAGGAATGTTTATTTTGGGAGCTTATTTATCTTTACAGTTTGTAGGCACTGTAAGGAATCGCTTTTGTTATTAGCTAACTCTTTTGCCCTTCAGTTCTAGAAGGAATATGACAGGAATTATGTCTTAACAAACAAGATCTTTCGTTTAAGAGAAAACTTGATATATTCTTAAGGACTAAGGTTAGTATCCTTCAATGATCCACCAATTTATTTTTCCTCGTTTATCGTTAATATTCCTAGGTTCCTGCCTGAAGGTATTGGTGATCCACTGCTACTAGAAACGGAAGCCTGTTAAGCGAGGGCTTTTATTCAGTCCAACCATTTGAACCGTTTGAACTCTAATAATTGAGTATTTGATACTTCATCAACTAAATGAGGGCATAAAACGACTAAAACAACAAGCTGTTCAAACTTTTAATATTACTTTCTAAGGTTTATAATCATATTTTAATTCATTTTGAATGTTATATTATTGGACTTATCAAAACGTATCCTGTTCTTTTCGAAATTAGACGTTGCAATTACAGGCTTCCCGCCAGTTCTGTTAAATTTCTTTCGTTTCATTAATAAGTTTTCTACTGATGTCTGTACAGTCTGGCAAGTCAGCATCTGTAGACTTCTGGTGTTGGGATGAAGTAGTTCGCAAGACTAAATCTACAGTTCTTGTTCTTGAGTCTCTGAGATCAGAACAACAGCAGATATCTGCTGATTTAGATTTAATAGCGAATTCGAAAGACGCCGATCAGCACGATATTTTATATGCCAAGGAAAAAGCATCTTCTTTGGATTCAATCATTCAAAAAATTTGTAAAGGTTTGGATGATGCCAACGTGAGTTGTTCCAAGGTATATAATATTTCTGTTAAAGGTTGTAATATTATTTTGTGACTACCTTCAAAAAGTAGAAGCAGAAAAACAAAAGTTACGGTATCAGAGTCGTCGGCTTTTTCAGGAGAACTCTTGGTTGAGAGATGAACTTGCGGTTGCCCAAGAAGCACATAGGAAAAGTGAACTAAAGATAGTTCAACTTGAAGAAGAAGTAAAGCATCTTCAATTTAGCAGTGAATTGCGGAAATATGACTCTTCTGAACCTGTGGAATCCTCGGGACTAACCGATGGTGAGAAAAACAATGATAAAACTGCCCTTGATCTTGGGTTTCCTCCTGATGATAAAGAAGAAGGAGATCAATATGGTAAGATGGTTTTGTGATGAATTGTGTTTACTCAATGTCATATATTTGGATATATGAAGTTGATTTTAATAGGATAACCACGTAGAAACAAGGACAAAATTTTAAGGAATTATTTAGAATGCTGTTTTGTTATGAGTGGGGTCTTAACTGTGTATACTCCTCTACGGTGGAGAATATTTGTTGTACAGGATGAGGATTTTAAAAGACAATCAACGGTTCTCGATTAAACCGTCCAACTCAGAGAACGGAGTTTTATTCAACATTGTCATGAAGTTAGATGTTGAATACACCTAGTTTAAATGAAAAACGATTGGTTTTGGACAATGTATTAAATTTTTTTGACTTAGTGTTTACGGTACACCTAATGAGTACCGAGTAACACTATAACATCGATAGCCTGCCTGGACTTTTTATCGCTTAATCTTATTGCAGTTGTGGTTTCGTCCTGACAATTTTGTGTCTAAAGTTCATAATATCATTCATGGTCAGCTTACTGGTAAGTACCTAATCAGATTTCTTAACTGATCAACTAACAGTCACATTCTGTAGCCTCCTATGCAAATTTTCTCAAATTTAGGGATAGAACATTCTCAGCTCAAACCCGTATGTTTGAATTAGACAAGAATCATCACTAGATGTAAACTACCTATACTATGTCATACAGTAGTCACAATTCATTGCTTAGAGGTTCCTTCACATTCAAACCGTGTAACATTTACACTTATGACCTACTGTTTACACTTTATTCATTGGTTTTACTCTCACTGACCATGTGGTAACATAAACCATGAAGTATAATTACCGTTTGATATGCACTGGGACATAGTTAATGAAACTTCGATGGAAAGTCAAGTAGGCAATGCATTACACACTTTTCCTTCTTGTTGTCTAACCTATTGTGAACACAAGGTAAACATTTTAAAATTAATGGTTGGGAAATACATATATGAAGTTATAATATCGTACTTCAAAATTTCCAGTTTTCTGTCTAACGTGGCTGTATCATTTGGTGGCTTTAAAATGACTTGGGGCATGAGACCAATCCCTTGAGATATATGAGTGAGTTAGTGATTTCAGGAGTCTTTTACATTGTAAACTTATAACTCACCCCACTAATACATCACAGTTTTGACTCCTAGTTTTCCGGCGACAATTTAGGTAACTATATCCTCAATCCATACACAATGGTCTTAGCTCATAACCTTGGATACGAGCATGCATTTGATCAGTTGATAACTCATGTTTGTGTTATGCTTATCGAGCCCAACTTTGGTAGTCCTGTAAATTGGTTTTTATATTCTGGCACCAAAGTTTCATTTTATTCCAAAGCCAATGTGTAGTTTAAATTTTTATATTATAGAAGTAATTGGAAACCACCTTGTTATGGACCGAGAATTATTGAGTATCTGCTGCATGACTGAAGGAGAATTTTTTCAGTCTCTTTAAAATTGCTATCATTCATAATATTCATGTTGATCGTATCTGTTGAAGTGTATAATCCCTCACGAATGATCTGATCCTTTTGCTGCATGTTTATTTAAATATAAGGTTCAGCGAATTTCTAACCCAAAACAGTGATAAAAGACGATCGTGTGTATGCTTATTGTTGCTTTATTCTCTTTCCAATAAATTATTGTCTCGTGGTTTCTTAACTTAGGAATGACACAGAGTCAAACTGTCTCCATGTCACAGGGTGTTCATAATTACGAAATACCAACGCGTTTGCGAACACTTCATAATTTGGTAATACAGTATGCTAGTGAAGGTCGTTATGAAGTAGCGGTCCCACTGTGCAAACAAGCTTTAGAGGATCTCGAAAGGAACAGTGGACGCAATCACCCTGATGTTGCGACAATGCTGAATATTTTAGCTCTTGTATATCGGTAAGTAATACTTAATTTACCACAAATTCATTGTTTAGTGATCAAGGAAAATACAGAGAAGCTGCAACATTATTGAATGATGCCCTAACGATTCGAGAAAAGACGTTGGGACCTGAACATCCTGCTGTATTTTCTCCATTTTAACCTTTATGCATATCTTTTAGGTGGCTGCGACTTTAAACAACTTGGCTGTGCTTTATGGTAAACGTGGAAAATATAAAGAGGCGGAACCATTGTGTAAAAGGGCTTTGCTAATTAGGGAGAATGTAAGTCAATTTTTCACGGTCGTTTAACTTAGTAACTTTTGTTTCTCCGAATTTTCGAGGATTATTTATCTACTGCAAAATTCGTTAGTATTAAAATGAGATAAATTACCATTCCACAGAATGTGTACGGATGTGTAAATTCATTGGTTTGCTAACTTCCTCTTGAATATTCAAGTTTTTATTTCTTTGTTGGATCTCTAAAAGACATAACGTTATTCGTTTCTTATAAGGATATGTTAACTAATAATCTAAAAGTATTGTCCTTTGTTCATTTGTTGGTTCACTAAATAGGTTGTTGATTTAGGGGGGTACTTTTAAACATGATACTGGTATTGTTTATATTCGCTGTACTAAGACTATTGTAGGGCAGTATTGTGTTGTTGCCCCATAGTAATAGTTAACAAATGACTTCTTTCGTTCTCGAAACACCAAAATTCAACCTTTCAAACTGTATTTGATGAAGTTGTTGCAATGCTAAGCTTACGAAAAACTATCAAATAAATGAAAATATTATAAAGTGTTAGTGCGTGAACAGCCAATCTAAGTGGTTATGATGTATCCAACCTTAGATGAGAGAATACATTCTTATCAGTGAGATACATTTTCCATTATTATTAGTTACTATTTACTTTCTACCTTTATGTCCCGACCGTTGTTGCTACTAGTATTTGACCACAGATGCCTTAGAAATATTGCTGGCGTCTGCTGGAACCACCGGGTAAGTAATAGTGAAGTTAGACTCAGGGTATTATGGAATGATGGTAAATCAGTTGATGAGGTTGTGAATCTTCATCGACTGAGATGGTTAGGCCACGTGTTACGTATGCATGAACACCGATTACCACGACGTACAATGCTAACCGGTGTTGGAGATGTTTGGAAGAAAGTTAGGGGCGGCCAAACCTAAACGTGGCATCAGTGCTTGAAGTCACTAACTTCTATTTTTAGCCATGTTGGTAGATGCAGACTACTTGGTTGGGGTCCGCGCGACTATCGTAACCAATGGTCGGAGACTCTAGGTGACATGGCTCAGAATCGATCACAATGGCGTAGGTCTATACTCTCTCTGTCTTCCCTTAAAATACGAGATTAAAATCGCTTCATATCTTTCTTTCCACTAACTGATTCTTTCTTCCTGCACTATATCCTTATTGCAATCTTTCTTTTATATATTACCACCTCTGAATTAACTACTTTTATGAATCCGGTGTCCATCTTGTGTTATGGCAACTTGGACCGATGCATAAATGTGCCTGGTCCTACGTTGTAGCCGACTGACTACCTTTATGTAGACTCGTACTAAGCCTATATTTTCTTGTAGTTTCAATAACTACACGAATCAGTATCATATCTCAGTTTGACCATCTCAGATCAATACGGTTGTCTATAAATCCAAACAATCCACTAAACCTTCAAACAGTCAGTCATAATCAAAGCGGACTAACAAAAATGTTGGCCAACCCAAGTTGCCATGCCACATCAACAGGACTAAATGAAATTGACTGGATCAACAGCAAATGAATCGTATTGATTGCAGTAGCGCTAATAGTGAAGATGGAATGGAGAAATATGTAGTAAAAAGTACTTGGAATCTAAGTCTAGAGAAAGATAAAGAGTGAATGTACCTGGAGTCTATCTACCAATACGCCTTTTTGTCAAATACATATATAGATAGATCAAGGTGACGCACTGATATTTGGGACTCAGTGTCTACTCAAGAATAACTCAAACTAAGAACTTTCTGACGACTACAAATACACACTTCATGTTACAAACTGTATCCCAAATGTCACAAATACGGTACTACAAAATAAATAACGAATATTCAATAATTCCAGATCTATTTAACACAGTATCCGAAATGATCCAGAGATCAGAATAAGAGTTGATGAACAGCCAAAACGAACAACATAAGATCATATGGTCGAGAGATGTAGGGTTCAACCCTGGTAAGCGCTTCTAGGCCTAAATTATAACAAAAAGTTTAATCAATACACCCTTAACCAATTATATTACTGCTTTTTAGGTTTTGGGGCAGGATCATCCGGATGTTGCTAAACAGTTAAATAATTTGGCTTTATTGTGTCAAAACCAAGGGAAGTATGAAGAGGTGAGCTTGATTTAAATTTTTTCTTTGCTGTCTCTGCTCACGTTTAAAAACTAGACTATATCATTATTTTGTTTTTGTTGAATAAATGCATTTCGTCTCTCGTTTGTATAAATTTTGGATAGAGTGCTGTTTACTTCACGCCTACATTCACTTATGTTTCAAGTTTCCAATAAATTTTATAACACGAAAAATGTGAAAGGAATGAGCATTAGTTTTTTGTAAGATCAGGAAACCAGTGTATCTTTATTATTATGCGGACTCTGATGGTGTGGAAAGAGAGAAAAATATACATCAGTACATGTAAGTGTACGACTTCTAAGACACTATCTTCACGGTGTTACAGCCTCTTTGAGTGTTGTGTCTTTCAAGTGTAACTTGAAGTTATTGAACACGAAGGACGGCTTTTATCCGAATAAAATTCTTAGCTACTCTCCACTGTTAGGCATAATTACTGGCATGAGGATGAAGATCAAAGTTGAGCGGAATGATGTTCTTGTTATGGAAATTTTCTCAATAAAAGTAATTAACTCTTTAACAAAGTTAATAAACTGATGTAAGTATCTTCGACACCGATTTGAATGTTTTGTACTCAAATTATGTATTTCATTTCATCGATATTCATGTCGACGCATCGTTGTTGGTGCAATATCCAATTATGGTATTAATGCATCACTACGTGTTGTGTGTCATGGGTTACAGTGAAAGTCGAAATGTCATTTACTGACCAAATCTCCATATAGTAGACTAAGGCACATTTTTTGCGATGGTTAGTAACAGCACCCCACTTCCCAAACTGAAGGAGGCAGAGTGGGGTTCGAATTCACGATCAGTGTTTATATCAGAAAATATCACAATAAACTATGTCCAACCTAGTTTTCATTGTGTATTACTCGTTCTGTTTTAAGGGCCGTGATCGGATCTTTTCATAATCGACATTGAAATTGGCAACTATTGATAATGCACTTAGAAGTAGAAAAACTCGATTTTTAAAGCTTGTAGTCTTCAATAAAGGGTCTTGTTATCAAGTTACAGAAGGCTTCATACAATAGAAGCTACAACCATTTAGTTCATTAAAGACAGTGAAGATTGTCTTCTAGTCAAACGATGTTAAATAGTTCCCCATGTTCAACTGTTCTTGAATTCAAAACATTGCATTCCCTTACTAGTTCCTTCATTTTTTTCTGAGTATAAGGTTTTGAATAGTATTAACCAGTTGTTACACGAAGTTTTCACATAAAATTTCACTGAATTGGTCTAACTTATCCTACTTTACCTAAGATATTTAAGCGTAATCCAGTTTGAAAAAAGTTCAAGAAATGCCTGGTTGAAAGTGTGTATAAGTGGCCAAGTGACTACAAGACTTGTCGTTGCGAAAACCTGAACATTTTTGTGTATTCCCTGCACATACTTTTAGTTTGGTAAAGTGAATATCGTATGCAACTCATTGTGTATACTTAGTAGATAAATATTCCTATTCACTTCGGAATTTTTAACTTCAGTGTTAGTGATATTATAAAAAATATTTGAATTGTCTCGTTGTTGATAATCTTAATTGAATTTTGATCTGTCTTCGTTGATATATGTGCATCCTATGCATATATCTTCAATATAGTAACTTTTCATCTATCAGTCTAATAACAATTGTTTACCTCTTCTTTTTCTGATTGACTAGCTGTTTTATATTGTCCACACTATATTTTCGTATTTAATATTACTAGGTGGAGTTGTACTATCAACGAGCCTTGGAAATTTATATACACGATCTCGGACCAGACGATCCAAATGTAGCTAAAACTAAAAATAATTTAGTAGGTTTTCTTTTTTCCTGTAATATTTCAAATGCTTTAAATCGGTTAAAATGTTTAGTCTTATGTGTGTCAGTTTGTTGTTGTTTCACCCTTATCTAGTAATAACAATGCAAGGTGTGGCTGTTTGTGCATTCTTTTTATCTCTCTCTCTTATGTATTTTTATTGTTCACTTGAGAACTGTATGCCTTTTAGAAATTGAAAAAGTATATGTATATATGCATATATATCCATATATGTGCATATATACGCCAAACTGTAACCATGTAGTCTTGAAGTGAACAAAGTAAAAATTGATTTTCAGCATTATAACAATGTCTCGCATATCGATTGCCTCGATTACTGTTTTTAAATTCTTAATTATAGGGAGTTACATAATTTAAGCGGGCTCATTCAATAAATAATACTTTTTCATATTTATTGTACTTTTTCATTCAAGAAGTTACATGAAAATATTTGAAAGTATGATCGAAAAGAGAACTATAGCTACAGACGGTATTTGTTTACATAGTATATTTCTTCTGACAGTTCATGTAGAGACATGACATCGAAAATCTGCAGTACCTGAGGTAAACTGTTTATAGCACTTTACATACATGCCTAACCACCACGTCAGAGATAACATGGATAAGAGTAGAACGGGTAGGCGTCGTAGTTATCAGATAAATGCATCGAGCCCTTTAACCAAGTCTGACAGTTGATTTGAGTATGCTTTGTTGTGACTTTCGATCGGTTAAATATCACGTGATTTATTCACCAATCAGAACACGACTTATACAATCTTAACAATGTAAAAAACCAATAACATTTTGACCGGTATGAACAGCCTAGCGTCCTTATTGGTCCTTGTTCCTACCTAGCCCTGCCTGTTGAGACAAGAACGCTTATAACAGCTTCCATTATACGAATCATTTATTTCAGACATACGTTGTTTATATACAAGCAAACCAGACCACATCATATCTTAAATTAAAAAAATAACAATTGTATAAGATCAAGACAAAAAGTAGTTGTGGTTGTGAGAGACTGGAACTAATAATTTGCAAATAACTTGAGAATAGTAAATCGCATAATAATAGTCTATAGATCAGAATAAAGCTTATAATGAGGAATATAAATACACATGATCTAGCTACTTGATATTTATATGATAAGAATATATGTATAATATTAGTCTATTAATAGCTCGCAGAAGTTACGCATAATTTAATCTTCGCTAGGATATAACAGTTTTGTCATCACGGTCTGTAGGACAACCGAACTCGGTAACTGGAGATTTTGGTTGATATAACTCAAAATCATTTTTGTAGTTAAAAAGTATTCTGTAGTGTTGTGTTACTTTAGTATCTTCTACCTTAGAGTCTTTGTTGCTGCGTAGTTCGTTGCACATATCAATGAGATTTGTGTGGCGCATATGTATTTGGTACCTCCTTGTACCAATATTTGTGTGTTAAAATAAATAAAAAATTACTACTGCATTTTTCTGGTGTTGATTCTCGAATCATTGTTGTTGATGTACATTGAATAAACTTTTGCCATATTATCCTGTGTCAGCTTTTATATATGCTTGTTTGTCCTTTATCGATGTCATATTTTGTTACAACTCGGTGCCACAGGATATGTTACTCTGCGTAATGATGAAGCTGTGACTTGATGTTTAAGGCTCTCTATTTTCAGCCATAGTCTTAGGTTTAAATCCCGATCCGCCTTTGGTTTGCGCAACCAGATAGTATCATTAGTCCTCAAAATCAGTGTGTGGCACATACCCTAGTACTTAGTGGAAGACTTCTTTCTTTCTTTTCCATGATGCAGTAAATTTGATTACTTTTGTCTAGTTTTATGCATTTGTCTATTTTTCGACCGGGAAACGTAACTATGATTAGAAGTAATTGTTCTTAGTTTGATTATATCTGAAAATGAATACATAGAACGCCTTATGTACTCAGATTCCCTGGAATATTATAGTTAAAATTAATGTTCCATTATAATTACTTGCACAGTATTGTCGTAGGTGCTCTTGTTTTTAAATATGTTACAACCATGCCATTCAGATTTAAGGCATATATATACCACCAGAAATGCTCACATTTTCACCATACTACTTGGTTTTTTTCCTCCAGAGCCTTCGTTATATATGTGTATACACTGAATTTATACTAACACAAAGCAATAGCATATTTTCAGCAGATTTTTGTAGAAGACATTAATATTTCTGTTCGTTTTGTGGTTTAGAAATTATCCGTATAAAATTGATATTTATGTCAAACGCCTTGGTATTGATATTAGCCGTATAGATGGTGTATGTTACGATAACCGTTTTTAGCTATGATTGTCAGTAGCATCCAAGACATGTATTTCTGTTTGTCTGAGATTGACCAGTTAAGTAATATCCAAATTGTTGTGAACATTGATGCTCTAGCTGAAATTTTTTTCAGAACGTATTTATTGATATATTAAAGCGTACAGTAAAAGAGGTCAGTCAATTCTGTTCAGTAAATCGTTAATGGGAATAGTAATCCATTAAAAATGTTACAAATAATTTTCGTGTATCTGGGTAGCTACGTAAGGGCTTTTGGTGACGTGAGAGTTCAGATTAATTCACGTATAGTGAAATTCAGAGCGGCTTATGCTAATCTGCGTCATCTCTGGCGCTCTCGTGTTAGTCTGCCTGTAAAAGGTCGGATGTACAGCAGCTTTGATCTATGTTTGTAAAACCTAGCCTCCGAGTTGGGGAGGTTAGACGAATCTGCGTTTGCTCATCTTTGCCTCCGAAGGATTTCTGGCATCCAGTGATAACGTCATTTTAGTGATGCGGATGTTCAGAAACGTATGATCGTGCACACTGACGATTAGTCAATTGACGTTACCATCCTAACACACCGACTTCGGTGGCTTGGACATGTCTTATTGATATCATCCCAGCGAATTCTACGTCGTGCATTGCTTGGCGACGCTGGGATCAGTTTCAAATGCGGAGAGATGTTCAGTGCACGACATGGTGTCGTAGTATAAGAGAAATCTGTGAAGGACTGGTTTTTGTAGGTCATTCACGACTCCCTGGTTGTGGTCCTACAGATGGTGCCACACAGTAGTTTGAGACGTTTTCAGACATGGCTCAGAATAGAAGGCTATGACAATTTTGCTGTAACTTCCTTTTACTTGCTTCATAAAAGTGAAAGTGACTTAAGATTGTATAAGTCGTGTTCTGATTGGTGAATAAATCACGTGATATTTAACCGGTCGAAAGTCACAACAGTAAAGAATAGAAAATATTTTGTCTAGAATTTATAATATTGGCATTTGTAACTTACATCACTTACGTATTTACTTACGCCTGTTACTCCTCGTGAAGGAGCATTGGCCACTCACCAGCATTCGCCATGCGACCCTGTCCTGGACAATCCTTCCCAGTTCATTCCAGTCGATATTCATTCTTTTCATGTCTGATTCTATTTCCCGACGTAATGTGTTCTTAAGCCTTCCTCTTTTCCGCTTCCCTTCAGGATTCCAAGTTAGGCCTTGCCTCGTGATGCAGTTTGATGATTTGCGTAATGTATGTCCTATCCATTTGCATCGTCTTTTCCTAATTTCCTCTTCAGCTAGAATGTGGTTTGTTCTCTCCCAGAGAAGGCTGTTGCTGATGGTATCCGGCCAATAGATGTTGAGTATCTTGCGTAGATAACTATTTATAGATACTTGTACCTTTTTGATGGTGGTTGTTGTAGTTCTCCAAGTTTCAGTTCTGTACAATAGAACTGACTGTTTTGACGTTGGTATTGAAGATTGTGACTTTGATATTGGTTGGAAGTTGTTTTGAGTTGCATATGTTCTTCAATTGTAGGAATGCGGCCCTTTGCAAATGTTTCCCCATTTTCGTTTCTCTCTCCCAGTCCATGTCATCCCATGATATCTTCATATCTGGTGTTGTCTTTTCCGACTAACTTCTAGTCTGAGCCATGTTGGTAGATGCAGACTACTTTGTTGGGGTCCGCGTGACTTCCGTAACCAATGGTTGGAGACTCTTGGTGACATGGCTCAGAATCGATCACAATGGCGTCGGTGTATACACTCCCTGTCTTCTCTTAAACTAAGAGATTAAAATCGCTTCATATCTTTCTTTCTACGAACCAATTCTTTCTTCTTCTAGTATATCTCTATATGCAATCTTTCTCTTATATATTACCACCTTTGACCTAACCACTGCTATGAATCCGGTGTTCATCTCGTTGTGCTGATGCGGTATGGCAACCTGGACCGATGCACATATGTGCCTAGTCCTACGTTGTAGCTGACTGACGGGAGAGATGCTGCTGTACTCCGGTCACGAACAGGAAAATGCTCCACACACTCAGGGACTTGCTATAATGTTGTTCAAAGTAGCACGAAGTGCACTTGTAGGATGGAAATCTCACGGATCCACAATTATCTCTCCCGTATTTAGGCTTTGTTGTTCAGCTTGGTTCCAATAGGTTTCGCTGATTGCCAGTTTTGCCAAGTTGTATCTCCTCATTTCCGTTGCTATTAGACTGGTCTCCGACATTGTCCGGAGATTCCATGTAGCTATAAAAATTGTTGGTCTGGTTGTTAGAATGGGCATCGGTCTCGTGGTTTCTGAAGGAACTCGGCTTTCACCATGAGGTGTCATATTCGTTCTAAATGAAGACGTTCTAACTTCCAGGTCAGAATTAAAATGGTTTGAATTATTTTTTCTGTTTAACGATTCTTAGTGTGTTAGTTTTCTACGCGATGGGATCGCTAACCACATGCCTAACCCTCCTCATTTACCCGGGCTCGGGACCGGCAGTAATTCTAGAAGAGCTGCGGGCGGAGTTTGTAACTTACATTAATATATATATCAATAAAATCATGAAAATCGGTCACCAGATATTAAATCCAGATATTAGCTTTCTTATCACACCCCGTTTAAACTAACATATTCCATTTCAGTTCATTTTGTATTTATGCAGTCTATTGTTTAGATAGTTTAAATTTCTTTTTCGGCAAGACTATAATTTATGGACGGAGCAATGAGATTTATGATAACAGATTTTTTTCATTTTGGCGCCAGACTCATTCACTTATTTGTTTAAATGGCTTTTTTGCATTTTTGCTGATGTCAGTTCGTGATGAAAAACCATAAATCTAAATCCTAACCCTTACTATCAACTGTAAATCATAATCCTTAGCATCGCTCAAAGGTCGTCCATAAATTATAGTCTCACCGTTTTTTCTAGTTGGCGTTTATTAACAAGGTTGTTTTCTGTGGAATGGGGTTGGTAACGTCATTCACAACCCTCCTTTTCCTGGGCTTAGGATCACCAGTAACCCTAGAAGAGCTACAGGTGTTGATTTGCAAATTGCTACAAATTATTTTATCTCTTACTATCATATTTTTCACAGGCTTCAGCCTATCTTAAACAAGGTAAATATGCTGAAGCTGAAAAATTGTATAAAGAGGTACTTACACGAGCTCATGAAAAAGAATTTGGAAAAATTTCTGATACAAACAAACCTATTTGGATGCTTGCAGAAGAACGTCAGTCCGGTCAGTTAACCAATGCGAATAAAGATATTAGTGAAATTGTTCAATCAATGTGGTCACGTATTTCTCGTTCAGAAAAGTAAGTAGGAAATTTTGATTGGTCTCCATTTTTGCTTACCTACTGCCTGTTATTTTTATTTCTGTCTAACTGTTCAATATCGGTTCAATTATAATCGATTATATAGTCAGATTAATTTGAACACGTTTCCCATATAACCATAGTGTCATACGGAAACACTGATGTTTTTTAAGATGACTATAATAATATGAATTGATCACTTTACTGTAATTGGAGTTCAAAATTCAGTACATATATATGTATATGGAGACAATAAGTATTTGCTGATTCGCCTTATTATTAAGCTAGATTTATGATTCTTAGTTCGACACGTAACTAGTTTTCATCACGAACGGATATAGATCGTAGAATTCTCAGGTGATTCGTATGGTTGTTTGAAAAATCTCTCAGAAACCAAAATTACTCTTATCCAGTTGAAATCCTTTGATGTCGACTGATTATATTCTAACCCGATTGTTCGATTGTCATATTTTCCCAGAAACCTCATGCCACCGGCAATAATCTTATACATCTTTTTCGCGGTAATAAAACCAACCTTAGAAGTAAAGGTTTTTCATATTTCCTGCCTTTTGGTTTTTGTTCATGCTTCAAGTAAAGATTGCTATTTAAAAATCTCATAAGAACCCAGTGTTTCAAACGTCCAGAATACCAGATATGTTAATCACCATTTAGAAACAATGAACAACTGAATATGAGATTTATGTTTCAATGTTATTTAATGTATTCTCGTTTTACCGTATATTCCCTTTCTATGCTGTCCCATTCCTAACGAATCCCATTCACAGGTGAATAAAATTTTTTCTCTCTTAATGCCTAGTAATAATACTTATAGACAATCTAAGTTTGTTTTTCGGTACTGAAAATGTTTTGTTTTTTGGCGTTTACTCATTGAGTTTTTCTGCAAGAATGGAAAATAAACTGCTTTTTTATATGTTATTTCAGAAATGATTTCTATTATAGTTTGATTTCATATTATTGCTTATTTAATGAGTACGTACAAGAATTTAATAAAATTAAGTAAAGGAGACGAAAGTAGGCTTAGACACCATAGTTGCATGCGATGATTAGAAATTGTCACATCTAAGTGTGCTGATCTGAATTTTATTATGATAAACTTAAAATCTTCACTTTAGTGTCATTCTATGCTTTTTTCAGGATATCTTATTGATTTCTGTCAAGTACTATCTTTACTTATATTTCTATCGTGATATCAATATTATTATTTTCACTTGTTCTTTTTTCAAACTACTGATTTCCACTCCATACTTTACTGATGCAATATTTAACGATTGTAATCGATCTACATTTGCATCACGCATTATATTGTCCATGACCAAGTTAATAGAGAGGATATATGAGGGAGAAAATTACACCTCACCTAACTGTTCTTCTGGTTAGTATATAATAAAACTCAGTCTCTTGTGAAAAAGATTATTTTTTCTAATTAATCATAAGGTACTTATCACTTTGATTGCCTTAAGCGAACAATTAGATAAAGGTCTGGTAGTGTTATACACAGGGAAATCAACAATTACACATGAATCAATATCTTTATTATGCCCTATGATGTCGTTCAGGATCATGTTCTATATTTCAGTATTTTATGTTCTTTTTTTTCTAAAGAAGCCTTCTTAGTGTTTTTTTTCTCTTATTGCAGTATTTGCTTCTTTGTGTCGGTTTAATTTCGTAATAATGGGGAAAAGTTTGACAATAGAGCTCTGAAACACAACTACCTATAAAACTAGTTCTAAGCAAAAAAAAATACAAATTGTTCGTTAATAATTGCAAACTATATGTTTTAATTCCTACTATTTCTGTTCTAACCGCACGTTGTTTTATAATTTGATCTATTTAAAAATATGAGGAAGTTTTTTCTAATGTTTACTTTTTTGATTCTTACTTTTAGCCAAACTGAGTGTTTTTCTCTGTTTTTCACTAGAAAACATCTCATTCTTAAAAAATCTACATTATACAATCTCAAGGAATTAATAAATGTGAACTTTCTTTCTTATATTTATTAAAATTATTAGATTAAAACGTAATAAAATTTTAGTTTATATTCCTTTTTTTGTGCTTAATTCAATTCATTTATTTATTGGTGTTTACACGTACTCACATTGATAAACTGTAATAGCATCCACGTCATTTATCTTGGTAGGTTAGTATTTATTTATTGACAGTAAGCTTTTGACGTATACGTAGTCATTCACTGAATAATGTGGTAAATTATTATTAAAATAATTTAATTAATTCTTCACTTTGATTTTTTTTTCTTCATTTCTACTATTGAATTTTGGTTACTTAAAGTACAATTCACAATATTCAACATATGTATAATAATGTTATAATTTCCATTTCATATTTTTAGTTTTATTATCTAAACATTCCAGTTACTATACTTATTCCAGCTAATCGATTTTTATTCACCTTATAGGCATACAGACATAGTTTTATATTTATTTTTTTATATGTTTAGTAATAGATGGTCAGAAACATTTGGTTAACCGTCACTATTTATCTAGCAATATTTTGATGACTCAACCACTTTACTTTCTACTATTGTGTTTCAGGTTTGAATCCCTCAGCTTAAGGGGCTAAATAATATCAACAACTTCCAAATAAAAAGAAATATGGATACTTAGTTTTTGAATTTTGCCCAATTTAATATTGAGTCAGTTCATTGATGTAATCGCTCAACAGTTCAAATTGTTATACATTTAAAATCTGTTGCTTATTTTAACAGGCAAGATAAATTATCGAAATTAATCAAAAGAAATGTGTCATAAAGCGTGATTGAATATCTTAGCAGTCTAAAAGACTGAAGAAAATGGATTCCCTTAATGACAAACAGTTTAGAACCATCTTACTACATATATATATATATATATATATATATATATATATATATATATATATATATTGGTGTAGAGCCATGATGAAAAACTAATTGAAAAGAAATTTCTTCGCCCGATTCGTTCCTTCTTTATTTACCAAATGTCAAAATGGAAAAAATCATATGGCCAGCCGGTAAAGTTATATCTTCATTCTTAACTCAGATATTCAGTTAACTCTGAAGTAATATCTAGTCCGAATCTGTTCATCGAAAATTAAGTGTCTTAGACAGTCTTTTTGAATCAGATATATAGTGTATAGGAAACCACAGTAAATTTCGTTCATTTCTGTTGATATTCACTTCCTAGTTTACCTTCTTTTTCTTAATTTCCACTGCTTAATGTCAGCCACGCTAATTTGATGTCACCGCCATATATTTCAAGTTGTAACTTCAATATCTCAGTTTCCGTTTGCAGGGAAATTTTTAAATTTAATGAGTACAAATTCCTAGTTTTTTTACTGAAAAACTTTTATTTTTTCATTATACAGTCCAACTGTCGGTACAACTCTTCGAAATTTGGTTGCCCTTTATCGTAGACAAGGTAAATTCGATGCGGCTGATATAATTGATGAGTGTGCTTCATACTCTAAGACGTCATCATCTGTTTCTGAACCTGTAAGTCCTACATATTTCACCGTTATCAATTGTTATTAAATTTGCATTGACTTTATATTATTTTATCGTGTGGGTAAAGTTTTTGACATTGGTTTACTTCAGAAACTTTTTCCCTATTTTGAAAGGTTTATAAAGCATCAAGGTTTGGCTTGATAATTTCAAATAAATTAGGTATTGAATAAATTGTGTATGGTGATAAGATTGTAATATACATTTGGAACATCCTAATAAGCAGAAAATTGAGTTTTCGACATTTTACAACATAATTAAAGTTGGTTTGTCAGAAAGTAAGTAGACGTTTCCGAATTGACACATTTAAATCGCGATTGTATTATTTTAGTCATCAAGTTTTACACTTGGAAACAAAAAGTTTCATGTTTTAATTCCTAATTTTAACAAATTTTAGTATAATTTGATTTTAATGACAAAAAATATGCTAATATCTTTCCTTTTTAATCGCCTGTCAGTATTTATTTCCGCATTCAAAAATTAGACATAAACATATAACTAGTTGTTCCCATACACTTAGTTCTTTATAGATTATATAACATCCATAAGGCTTCACACTTGGCGTTTGTTACCTTATTCCATTTTCATTTTCTGTTCTCGTTCAGAAATTTTATTTTAACTCTGTTCTTGTACATCATTTCGTGGCTATGTTTTCCAAATCTTGAATTCCTGTGATACTTGTTTGAATTTGTAACTGATTTGATGATTAAAGTACTCCACTGTTAAGTTACTGGCTTCATCTTCAGCTGTCGGATGGTTTCATCAACTTTTGCACTCGAAGAGTACATAAACTTGTGTTTAGCTATTAATTCGATTTTCGTTGTCTGAACATAGATCACGTAGTTCATAGGTATTTGTTTCGAGTTGGATAGATCATTTTACTTTCATATCTATGCATTTACGATTTCTCATTTTTAAATTAGGACTATGAACAGCTGGAACATAAGCCACGATTTCCAATCAATGATCAATATCCTAGGCGAGGTTATCCACGCCATCCATATCAGCGTGTTGAAGATAGATCTATGATCACTTCTTCACGTAGTCTACTTGGTCCTCCGAATGGTCACCCTATCAATAGACGATCATTTCCTCCTAGTCGTGGGTTTTTCAGGTAGCTTAGCTTTCTCTAGCGCCCCGGTCTATTCTCTAATTCATTTGCACTTAAACGTTGGCCTTTAGTAGAGCTTCTGTTTGCTGCACTGCATGATTATATGATCCATCACAATTTTAGTCTATTGATTTAGCAGTTTAACCCGAATTCGCTTCCTTAGTAATTATGATTCAACCTTTGGTGACGTTATTTAAATAAAGGTATTTATTATTCAAGCTTTTCGTTCCATATATATATATATATATATATATATATATATATATATATATATATATATAAATTTTGTATCAAGATGTTCTTTTTAAGAACATTGTTAGGATTTTTCCTTCTATCTTTCTTCCCTGCTGTTCATTTTTTATTTTTTTAAAATATATTACTTAGACACTGATTTTGTTTGCCCATCCTTACTCTGTATTTGGTTTATTAAAAAAGATAAAATATGTGATCCTATTTAATGAATATAACCAATTAGTCAATGACCGGTTTTATGAATTAAATATAGACCACTTAACCAATATTTTATTGGTAATGATTGGCCAATGTAGATCAGACTCATTTTTTCTCCAAATAGCATTTAGGATTTGAAGGAATGTGAAGTGTTGGATACATTAATAAAATAATATCCTTATTTTGAATCATTTGAACCTTTCTTACAATACTCTTCTGATCCAGATGACACCATACATCAATATAAATAATCCTTAGGTATACGTAAGGTATTTTTCAATCTTTTCAGTTGCTTTAAATATATCACTATATGTATTTTCTACTTGGAATTTTACTCGTACCCTTAGTTATTTATTTTCCAGTCCCATTGTACAAATGATGCTTTTATGATACAAATATCCAAATTCATGCATCGTTTTTACTTCAGTATTCAGAGTTCATGCTGTTGGGTATTTTCCAGAATGATATATCTGCAATCTTAAAAGGACTGACGCTAGACGACGTGACATCACATTATCACAGTTAAAGATGCTGTAAATCCTCCATTCAACTTGAAACCGACCTATCTTAAAACTGAGATACTTACACTAATTAATTGCTTCGTCTACTTTAATCACCATCACCGAGTCGTATAGTGAAATATTGGTTATTTATTACCTACTAAACTGCCGCTGTTAGAGCACCCCCAGGGGATGCAACGAATCTAATTAGGCAGATCCTTTTTACATCCACTACTTTACTCTCGAAATTCACATATGTAAGAAAATACTGATTAATTGTGTTTTATTACAATCATAAGTTGTTCTTAACGCGTCTTTATAATTATTTTCAGTACTTAATAAGTGTGGTTCTGTACTATTAACATTATTTTTTTCTTCGAAATGTTCTATTTAGTTATCATTATGCAACAAACAGTTGATAAAACGATACTGACTATTGTAAACTTTAGAATTTCATCTATTTTTAAATATTAATTATACAAATGAAGAAATATTGCTTATATTTAATTCATCGCCTAATATATCGACGTAATCCTATTGTAATTTCTCGTTCTACATGAATATAACTAGAATGTGTCACTTTTTAATTATCTAATCCCTAGATGTTAATCACTGTTACACTACTACTCCCTGTGTTACTGCTATTGCTACCATAAGTGGTTTTTGTTTTGTATAAAATTTACGGATGAAAGTTTTTGTATATTATGCATCTATTAACATTTAAAATGATCCGTAGCAATTATGATTAGCAATAATACTGCTTTTATGTATTTTTACCACTGTTAATTAGTAGTTTATATATATATATATGCTTGTTTTATTAACCTCTTCCTCTTTTAACTCCACAAATCTCTATATCACAATGTTCCGATTATACACTCATATTTACAGCATCAAAAAGGCCCAATCAATGTCAACCCTACCAGGAAGCTCTAATAATAAGATGTTTTATATGCAGGTTAGTATATTTTAAAACGGTTTATTCCATGTTTCTGTATGATTACATCGATGTTTAATTTCCTACAAGCGGATTAACTTTCCATCTAGTAAATGCACAATATAAATGTTAGGTATAGCTAGCAGAAGTTTACATCACTTACGAGCATTTTTCGTAATTATTGGTGATGTATATTCAGTAGGAAGAAGCACATTGTTGATTTTTGTACTTGCAAATTGCGAGTTGACCAGTGAAATATTAAATGTCAATGATGCTATCAAAGTTTGAGATGTTATAATGGGTTTTCAGAAGATACCAGTTTAACTTAGCCGTATACGAATTATGTGGTAATTCACTCATATGAAGCATGCTTAGTTACATACACTGTTGATTTATTTAAAATCAGTATTGCTGAAACTGTGCTGATAATTATCTGCTTTTTCATTAACATAAATTTGATGTTACTTTGATGGACATAGATTTTAATCGCTGTCTAGTATTTTGGTCAATTTTAACAAACTTTTAAATATATAAGAACTTTCTTCTAAATTTGATCAAATAGTTTCACAGTATTTGGGTGCCGAGTTAATGTGATGCATTAAAGAGGAAGAATGTATTTGTAAAATCTCAGCGAAAAAATTTAAAGTGAATCCAACGTTTCACTGAGATTCTACAAATACATTCTTCCTCTTTAAAACTTGGGATAGTTTTTGCGATACTAGTTAAAACCTGTTGGGATTGTTACATTTAGCTTAGATTAGTCAATACATTTTTCAATAGTTTCTCGTCTTCACTGATCGTCAAGTCAGATATCATCATTTTTTTTCAACTTCAACGTGACGTGAAATCTCCCATATTGTCTATAAGTACCTTTACGAATATTCTTTATTTTGTAATTAAATTACGATTTTACGACTTTGGTCGCCAATTACTCTCAATATGCACTATTTCAAAAAACACCGGTTTTGACAGTTCCTTATTTAAATAAATAATCAGGTAATTTGAAGTTACGTACTTAATTGAACTCAGTGTGCGAGACTGTATCATTCATAAATTTATAAAACAATTTCGATATCGGTATGCCAAGTTCATTAACTGTAAACGGTAAAATACCAATAAAAATCTCAATCTGAACATTTTGGGAAATTCTTATAACAAAAAGTGACAGTTAACATTCATTTGAACAGATTTAAAAAGATTTAAAGCTTGATAGCTCTTTGCTTTTAGTCTAGCTAGAATAAAGAAGCTTCAGTAAAGATCGTTGTCTTCTAGATAATATTATACTTTGAAGCTGTGTGATTGCATCCATTGTTTATACCAATAGGTATGAGTTTATCATTTTAAAGAGGAACACGACGCGATTTCATTGTTAAATCTCCGTGTGCAAGATAGATGTAAACCAATAATAAACTTGACCAAGTGCTTCGCCAGCGGAGCTTCAGTATATGAGGTGCTTCTCAGGGAGATTGGAGAGAGTGTGCCTCTTCTCTATAACTGACTTTTGTAAGGATGCAAACCTTGCACAATATCTAATATACCCTCCATTTAACTCTTTGATTAGCTTTACATCTATAGGATTTACCATTCAGTCAGTCAGTCAGTAACAACGTAGAACTTCGTACGTATGTACATCAGTTCGAGTTGCCACACCACATTAGCACAGAGATGCACTTGTCGATTCAAATCCCGTAGTGGTAGAGGTAGCAAGATTATAAGCAGTAATCGGGAAGATTAGTGTTTGGAGATGTTACTTAAAGAGTATAATACAGTGAAATAAATTTGGGAAGAGAAAGAAAAGAGACAAGGAGGAATAAGGAGATCAAAATTTGGGAGAACACAAACAGTGGATGCAGCTACGCCATTGCAAACGATTTTGAGCCATGTCATTCAGGGTCTCTAACCATCGGTTGCTATCATCTCGCGGTCCCCAACCACGTAGTCTACACCTACCAACATGACTCAGTCGACTTGTCAGTGACTTCATGAATTTGTGCCATGTTTTGGTCTGGCCGCCCCTATCTTTCTTCCAACCTACTCCTATACCATTGAAAATCGCACGTCGAGGCAGTCGGTCGTTGGGCGTACGTAAAACGTGTCCCAGCCATCTCAACTGATGAAGTTTCACTACTTCATCAATTGATTTGCCATCCTCACCTAGTACCCTTTTTTCTAACAACTGTGTTACTTACTCGATGGTCCCATGATATACGAGCAATATTTCGAAGACACCTACGATCAAATACTAGTAACCTACAATAACCCTCTACTCTTACCGGCCATGTTTCACTGCCATAAAGTAGGACGGGACGAACTGCTGCACAGTAAACACATCCTTTGGTTGATAGACGGATATCTCGCCTACGTCATAAATGACGCAAGTTGGTAAAAACTGGTCGAGCCTTCTGTATCCGTGATGAGATTTCGTCACACACCAGACCACAAGGGCTGATGAGACTTCCAAGATAAGTGAAGCGGTCGACACACTCAACTACTTCACTCCCTATCACTAGTTCGGTAGAAGTTCAACTCCTGTAAATTCAGACGAGAAAAGTGTTATCTCTAAAAGTACGTCGACCACAAAGTTGAACAAGAATGGGGAGAGTAGACAGCCCTGACGAACACCACTTGAGGTAATCAATTCTGATGATTTACCATTCAAATTAATAATTTCGAGACTATGGAATGTGAAGTTTTGTAGAGAATAATCTTTGCTGGTCTGTCTTGTGAAGCGTTCTGTACCCTTAAAGTCACCTATTAGAAAACAATTTGTGGTTGTTATTCACTATTTACGACTGTTTTTTACTGTCGTCTCTTGATCTGTTTGCATTTATAGCAGGAAAGGCTTAGACAACTGCGTAGTGGTTCAACTAATCCAAAAGAAATTTATTCCCAAGATGGTCATACTAATAACAGTAATAATTATTTTCCCCTTGATGGCTATGGTACACGATCCCAATATATGTTTGACTTCAATCCATCTTTAAACAACAGTTTGAATCATTAATTCCTTCTTCTTTTGCGTTTATGGTCTATTTAAAATTATGAAATTAGCAATTACACTTGTGTTTTAAAATATCCTCTTTCGTTATTTTTTACTTGTTTGTTTATTCTTACCTCTGATCCATAGTAAAGGTTATTACTTTCTCTCTATGTTTACCTACTTATGTGTGTAAAGTGTGATTAGGTGAGTAATTGTGTTAGTAAGATTGAAATATCATTTCTTTGTTTTTATTTATATGAAAATTCATTTGTCTTTTCCATCCTGTTGCCGTTGTTTGCTGTCATCATCAATAGGATAACCGGTCGCGATTATTATACTGTGAGCTCTGAACATTAACTTATATCATTACTTAATTTTTGGCTGTGATGAATCAATTGTGCAGATCTATATGTGAACTTTGTTCAGTTTTATTCGAAAAAACGTTGCACACATGTTATTAAAAGAAAACTGCTCATGTGTGTGTGCATCGTGTATGTGTGTGTTACTTCACGATTTCCCTTGTTTTGTTTTATGTTGCTGAATTAAGTTCCTTTTTTAAGGAGCTGTATATCTCGAGTGTCATAATTCATTTTTCAAAGAAAAAGATGTAATGAAACACTTATTCAGCTATAATTTATAAAGAACAATATTTGTGTCTTCATTCGCTATAACTGATACATCTTTGCAAAACGGTATAAATCAATGCGTTTTCTTCTCTATAGTCCCTTATATCTTGATTATTATTTTGTTTTATCATTGTTCATTTTTGTGAATGCAATAAAAACGTGCGCCTAAATTTTTGTTCAGCTGTTTTCTCCATGTCAAATTGACCACATTCCTGTTTCTCCCTCTGTGTCAATATCTATACATCTCTCATTCAAACCGTGTCGTTGGTGCTTATCTTTGTGCACATCTCAAACGTGAGATAAGGATATATGGATATATTTTTGTTTCGTGTTCTTTCATATTAAAATACAATTATGCATTTCTTAACATATTTATCTCTTTTTCTATACAAATATGTCTTCCTTTTTAAACTACAATTAACCTGATGGGACTCTTATCCACTCCTATTTATCCTCATCGCGTATGACAAATTTCTTTCGGTGTCTAAAATTGCTTCCCTAACTAGGTTTATGCTGAAACTACTAAACACCTACGCCAAAATTAGTTGCCATAGCTTTGTTCATAAGATGGATGTTGAGTAGGGTTTTTCGATCTACAATACATTGTTAATGATTAGATACATGCCTGTCAGCGTGAAATCAGTTCATGACAGGCAAGTAGAACCACATATTCAGAATTTCCTTTATTAGTCAACTGGATGTCGATGATTCTGATATTCGCTATACTAATTTTGATAAGGTAAAATAAACTTGCCCATATTCTTTCATGTATCAGAATGAAGTTCTTTAGAACATAAAGTCAACTGTAATTTCTTAAGCCTTGCTATATTTACAAATTAACAAGTTACCACTAACAATGTAATTACTTAAAAGGTTTACTTGATACCGATCTCAATTAGTTGGTTTTTGTGCTCAATGATCGTTCCTATGCCAACGAGATTTTTCCAATTCATTAAGGAGAAAACCGTTTCTGTACTTGAGTAACTGAAATGTTTCATTAGCTCGTATACTTTCAGAACCTTTAAAGTTGGCTTACTTCACCACCATCCGTAAGACTTTCATCTGTTCATATCGTTAAATTTGTCAAATGTTTAGTGCTACATCCAGTAATATCAACCCGAGCTTTCGAAGTCTTATCCCTAGTCTCTTACATCTGCTTTTCAAAACTGAAAGCTATTGATTCAGGTGTTCAAAAATTGAATCATATTTTATCAATCGGGATTCTAAAACATCCCATAGATATATATGTTATGTCTGACATCAATATGTTTACCTCGTATGTTGTTACTCATTTGACTTCACCTAACTGGTTGGGAGACCAGATCAGTTCAACCTTCAATTATCTGAAGACTCGAAAGAAATTCCCTCTAATATCTCAGATGTTGATTAAATAGCAGGATTGATACTTCTGACCTCTGTTGTAGTAAGTCATTGATTGTACTCAGTTTAATTAAATAGGACAGTACTTACTTACGCCTGTTACTCCTCGTGAAGGAACATAGGCCGCTCACCACCATTCGCCATCCGACCCTGTCCTGGACAATCCTTCCCAGTTCATTCCAGTCGATATTCATTCTTTTCATGTCTGATTCTATTTCCCGACGTAATGTGTTCTTAAGCCTTCCTCTTTTCCGCTTCCCCTCAGGATTCCAAGTTAGGCCTTGCCTCGTGATGCAGTTTGATGATTTGCGTAATGTATGTCCTATCCATTTGCATCGTCTTTTCCTAATTTCCTCTTCAGCTAGAATGTGGTTTGTTCTCTCCCAGAGAAGGCTGTTGCTGATGGTATCCGGCCAATAGATGTTGAGTATCTTGCGTAGATAACTATTTATAGATACTTGTACCTTTTTGATGGTGGTTGTTGTAGTTCTCCAAGTTTCAGTTCTGTACAATAGAACTGACTGTTTTGACGTTGGTATTGAAGATTGTGACTTTGATATTGGTTGGAAGTTGTTTTGAGTTGCATATGTTCTTCAATTGTAGGAATGCGGCCCTTTGCAAATGTTTCCCCATTTTCGTTTCTCTCTCCCAGTCCATGTCATCCCATGATATCTTCATATCTGGTGTTGTCTTTTCCGACTAACTTCTAGTCTGAGCCATGTTGGTAGATGCAGACTACTTTGTTGGGGTCCGCGTGACTTCCGTAACCAATGGTTGGAGACTCTTGGTGACATGGCTCAGAATCGATCACAATGGCGTCGGTGTATACACTCCATGTCTTCTCTTAAACTAAGAGATTAAAATCGCTTCATATCTTTCTTTCTACGAACCAATTCTTTCTTCTTCTAGTATATCTCTATATGCAATCTTTCTCTTATATATTACCACCTTTGACCTAACCACTGCTATGAATCCGGTGTTCATCTCGTTGTGCTGATGCGGTATGGCAACCTGGACCGATGCACATATGTGCCTGGTCCTACGTTGTAGCTGACTGACGGGAGAGATGCTGCTGTACTCCGGTCACGAACAGGAAAATGCTCCACACACTCAGGGACTTGCTATAATGTTGTTCAAAGTAGCACGAAGTGCACTTGTAGGATGGAAATCTCACGGATCCACAATCATCTCTCCCGTATTTAGGCTTTGTTGTTCAGCTTGGTTCCAATAGGTTTCGCTGATTGCCAGTTTTGCCAAGTTGTATCTCCTCATTTCCGTTGCTATTAGACTGGTCTCCGACATTGTCCGGAGATTCCATGTAGCTATAAAAATTGTTGGTCTGGTTGTTAGAATGGGCATCGGTCTCGTGGCTTCTGAAGGAACTCGGCTTTCACCATGAGGTGTCATATTCGTTCTAAATGAAGACGTTCTAACTTCCAGGTCAGAATTAAAATGGTTTGAATTATTTTTTCTGTTTAACGATTCTTAGTGTGTTAGTTTTCTACGCGATGGGATCGCTAACCACATGCCTAACCCTCCTCATTTACCCGGGCTCGGGACCGGTAGTAACTCTAGAAGATTTACAGGAGGTGTTAAATAGGACAGTAACTTTAGCTAGAAATGATATGTTTACATTTCTACTGACTGCAGATAAGATGAAAGAAAAGTGATCTCTGTCTTCAGTTTCCTAACCTCTCAAAAGACTAGGCTTTCAAGATAATTACACTCGATGAACCTAACGATCAGTTAGGTAGTGTCATTCAAATCGAAAAATAATTTCTCTCCGTAGATGTAATGTTGAGTATCTACTGCTCAGGATTTGTCATTCAAGCAAGACATCAATTTTAGGCATAATGAAGATGCTGAATTGAACAGCTTAGAAGTTAACTACGTCACTGACGAAGCGTTTTCCATTCGAAAATTCAACCTCGAGCATTTTCAGTGGAAGAAATACTTGAAATTTATCACTCTTCATTTGTAGAGTATTACTTAGGCACTGATATGAGTCAACACTGTTTTCGATAATTAAGTGGTCCTATGCATCCACAAGCTTATTCGTGTTGGTAGACTATTCATGCATGGTAGATTAGTGGCGGGACTATTAAAAAGGTGTTTTGTTTTCTCTAAACTCACATTTTTTCAACCTATTCAAATGATGACCCTGCAGAATATGATCCCTTAATCTCCAAAAGTTCACTGATATCTATATTTTGTAGCTACGCGATGTAACGAAAACATGGACTTCCTAGTCCATCAATATTTCTTTCTCTATTGAAAGACGTAAATGTACGCTTTATTTCGACCTCACTTGGCTAGTGGAGTGACACCATAGCTCACACTACATTTATCTAGTTATTCCTGTTGCATTTCGTAAACTTGAGTTTGTTCAAATCGCATCAAATAAAAGATCAAAAATCTCATTTTCTTTCTAAGGTTGTTTAGCTGAATGTTGTTTCAAAAACTCAGTTAATGAACTACTAATTAGTATACTTATATAATGAGCTAATCGAGGGTGATCGGTAAAAATGATTCAGTGAACGGTCCCAAAATGTGATGGAAGAAGTGACAATTGTTGTTGGAGTTACATGGTTTTCTAGTATTATGCGACAAACGGATAACCATGGGTATAGTAAGAGCTTCATTACTGGAATGGATTAAGTGGTTGAACTGGTAATTTGCTGACAACCGCTTTTTAAATCCCAACTGGATAGATCTTGGATGGCATAACCGGCTACTAAACGAGTATATGGATATACATATATTTTGAGAATCAAAGCTATTATTCTTATATACAATATTATGGTTGTGTATCACTCATCAACTAACGTATGAATATTCAAGAATAATGTAAGTGACATAACATTCATTGATTATTTACTTTAATTTGACACATCTAATTACAACGAATTTTGTGAATCTATAAATCTACGGTTCACACATCGGTAATGAGGGTTATTAAAACATTTTGAAAAATACTTAGTGATGATGTCCTAAAACTGAAATAAGGTTAGAATGATA